AAATTGTTCCAGTTTGAAATTTAATTTCAATTTTTTTTCTGTTTCAAATAGTTTATTTTTCAGTTACAAAATGAATTTTTTGCTTCATTTTAGCTGGACAAAACCAGATTTCTCTAATCCAGGTTCTTAAAGATTTTAACTTGTGCAACACATTTGATTCAATAATGTTCTGTTTAAAAACATACAGTATTGTGAAAAATGCACGAGGCTTTTCACAGATGATGAACCTTTGGCCTGATGTTGGTCTGTTCAGAACATCCAAATACATTTATCTGAATTTGACCTCTGACCCACAGGTGGTGCATAGGATCTTAATAAAATAAAATATACATTAATTTAAGGTATAGACTGCTTAATATCCAACGACGGTCCTTAAAGTAGATAACTGACACTGGTAAAAATAAATCGTAATTGGTGATGGAAATAATTTTGATTAGAGAACAGAAAATGTTATTTTGTGAACTATTGTTATATTTGGTGTGAAGCTTTCATGATGTCAACAAATCCTCAGTACAGAACAGCTTTAAACATGTGAACTTCTTTGTTTTTGCTCCACAGACTTTCTGTCATTTCACAGAGTCTGTTCTGGTCTTAGTGTTGCTGAAACATGTGAGACTGTGAACAGGCTTCATGTTTTTAAAGTCTCACAAACACATTTTTTTTGTCTCAGAACAAAACCCTGTGAAGACGTTCCTGCCCAGTGATTCTGATCTGACAACACTGTCAGTCACAGACTGAGTTAACAATGACTGAATCACGCATTGTTCAGTTTTGGAAGTGTGGCTCATCAACCGATATGTTGCATTAAAACTGAGAAAAAAGCTCAACTGAAGACAAACATGAAGAGTCAGAGGAGGTAAACTGTACCTGAGGACTTCTGGTGACCCCAATGATTGGACAGCGAGGGCGATACCTGGACAGGAGGTGTGCCGACCTGGAGGAGGGGAGTGAGAACTGTAGCATCTCGTCCATAAAGGAGGAAGGGGTATACCAGAATGACAAAGGAAGTAGCTACATCACCCTGTGGGTTCACCAAACCTTCTATCATCACTCGTCCAGATCCAACGAGCCGATCTTATTGTGACGCTTCACACCATTTGTATGTTTTTTGGCCTCTTTCTGACTCCACAATTTTTATGTTTTTTCAACAATTCATACAGCAAAACGTTCAGCTCATTCAGGATTTTCAGCTATGACTTTTGGTATTTCTGTTATTTATACTTTTTTTAGCTATTTCACTTTTTTAGCCACTTTTTTGTCATTGAAAATGAATGGAGTTGTTTTCAACAACCTTAAAATCCTTCAAAATATTTCTAAATCTTTACAACACCTTACATATTGTGTATCTGCTTATGCACTTTTTTAACTTCCTTGTGCTAATTTTAGCTACTTATTTTTGCTAATTTTAGCTTTTTTCTGCTATTTGAATTAAAATTCTACTTATTTCTGCTATTCCTCTGCTATCTACTGCTTTTTTTTTATTCTTTCTTCTACTTTGTGCTATTTATGCTCCTAGTTGCTTTCTGCTATGTTCAGCGATTTGCTGCAATTTTAGCTAATGTTCAACTGTTATTAGCTAAAGTTAGCTTTTTTAAGTTAAATGCATATTTTTGTAGCTATTACAACTTATCTCTGTTAAGTTCAGCTAACTTGTGCTTCTAATCAAAACTTTTCCAACTACTTTTTTTAGCTGTTTTACTGAAAACTTCAGCTGTTTTAGCTATTTTTGCAGTTGTTTTCAGCTAACTTTATATTTTTACAACACTTTCACCATCTCAGTGCTTTTTTCAACTTTCTGCTTTCTGATGTACTGCAGTTTTAACTGTTTTCTACTTTTTTAAAAATTCCTACTTTTTTCTGCCAAGTTCAGGATTTTTTGTTCCTTTTAGCTTTTCAAACTGAACTTGCATCAACATTTGTGCTACTAACCACATTCAGCTCAATTTCAGCAGCTTTCAGCTTAAGTTTTCAGCATTTTCGCAATAAATACAATTTTCTAGCCATTATTATTATTATTGAATATGATGCATGTACTTCAAATCTTAAAGAAGCGTCACAAAAAAAGCGTTAAAATCGATGTAAAATCCAATAATAAAGAGCTTTACTGGAACATGTGCTCTCATCACAAAGGGTGGTTGTTCTACCTGCCACTGGTGGTGAGAACTATGATGGCCCCAGCGCAGCATTTGAAGGAGGACTCCACCGCTCCGATGGCGGTGACTTCAGTGGGGTCAGAGGACAGAGGAGTGAGGCGGCGCAGCTCCTCAAACAGCTGCTGGTGGAAAATGGCCGCCTCTGCTTCCCTGCAGATCTGACAGAGGGTGGGAGGCGAGGAAGACAGGCGTTATCTGGGAGCCCAACAAGCCCGACGTTACGAAACAAGCGATGGGAAACACACCGAGTGCATCATTGCAACCGACTCCACAGGAAACAGGCCCTTGGCGGTCTCCCCAGATAGCATGACACAGTCGGCCCCGTCCAGCACGGCGTTGGCCACGTCACTGCTCTCTGCTCTGGTTGGCCGTGCGTGGGTCACCATGCTCTCCAGCATCTGTAGGCAGAGATGTAAAGTACAAATACTTTGTTACTGTACTTAAGTAGAATTTTTGGATATCTGTGCATTACATCAGTAATTATTTTTCAGCCTACTTTCTACTTCTTCTTCTTACATTTTCCCACAATTATCTGTACTTTCTACTCCTTACATTAAAAAAGGCAAGAAGTAGAAAGTCATTGTGTTTATTAGAGGTGCAACGATACAGAAAATTCATGGTTCGGTTCGGTTCAATACGTTAGTGTCACGGTTCAATATTTTTTCGATACAAAAGCAGAAATGTCCATGCCCCGTTTTACCTGTAATTTATTTAAATTAATTAAGAACATTTGTTTAACCTCAAAAGTACAGTTTTTAAATTAAATGTTGCTGAAACAGCAAGTTTCTCAGTGGATCTGTGCTCAAAAATACAGCCTAGGTGGAGTAGTCGAACACAGATCCACTGATCCTTCAACACAGAGCATCTTCAGAAGACAAGCTGATAAAATAAATGTTCGATACAAGTGTGTATTGAACTGTTTGATATGGGTACATG